GGGCGACCTCACCCAAGATACTATGCAACGTCCTGTTATTTTTATTTTACTATGAAGAAATGGGGATGTCATGTATACCGTTGGATAGATATTCATGAGTACTACAATTCCGACCCAAGGAGTGTCGCCCTAGCTCCCATAGTAAAGGGACCATGGCCATTCGAAGTCATACCTTAATATTGTGGTTTCCAACATATCCTCTATTTTAGATGAATATTCAAATCTTGGCAAATTTGCCGAAATGACTTCGGGTAGGGCGATTTCAATTGTAGATTTTATGTACTTTAACGTAGTGTTTTTACTTTTTTTATGAAGCAACAATTTTTTTGAGCAATCGGCTATCGAAAAACTGCTATAAAATGGGACAACTCAAATCTTGGTCAAAAAACGTATTTTCCACAAATCGAATTTTTTTTCGAATGAAGAATGGTTCCACGAACGGGCAGACTTATTTGAAAACAGACAATTGATTTGAATTCTACAATTTATCTACAATTTTTTGGAACCATTCTTCATTCGAAAAAAAATTCGATTTGTGGAAAATACGTTTTTTGACCAAGATTTGAGTTGTCCCATTTCATAGCAGTTTTTCGATAGCCGATTGCTCAAAAAAATTGTTCCTACATAAAAAAAGTAAAAGCACTACATTAAAGTACATAAAATCTACAATTGAAATCGCCCTAACCGAAGTCATTTCGGCAAATTTGCCAAGATTTGAATATTCATCTTCTATTTTAACCCCTTTCCCCGCATTTCTGGGGTTGGGCATCTATATAAAATTTATCTACACACAATGCCCTTTAAGGTGGTATGCATCAGAACTCTAGACAAAACAGCCCAAGCTTCATACAAAACGGGACACAGTTCTTTTTTTTTTATCACAACTTTTGGTTGTGTATTAAAGTCAGTGACTGTGCGAGCGATCCCAGGTATGCTGGGTCCAAATTTTTTTTCAGCGCGTCTCGAATTCCAACAGAAAAAAAAAATTCTTGTTTCTTTACAGTATTTAAAGGCAAAGGTTCAAACAAAAGGCGTGAGAGCACTAAAGGCGTCTTCAGTGCTCTCTCACCTGGTTACAATGAGCCCGTTCGTGCTCTCGTAAAAATGTCCTTGATTAAAGTTAAGGTCACAGACACTTGTTGAATAAATTTGATAATAAACTAAATCGTGGCTCACATTGTGAATGGAAATAAAGTTTAAACAACTACGTTAAAGGTATTAGATTTTTTCATAGAAATATTCGTATTGAAATGTTGTGATTAGCCATGACTATGGGTCGCCCATTTTGATCATTTTGGTAGACTACTGACTGGCTCAAAATGATTATCTGGAACAAAGTAGTTATTTACGTTTGTAATAACTCAAGTTATTCGTTTTAAGTTAGTCAATAGACGGCTAAAAAGTCTGAAATCAGCTATCCACTGTCATGGATACTTACAACATATTCACTAGAATACTTACCTTATGAAATGGGCGAGAAATGTTCACTACGTTCATGGAATTTTTGTGATTTTTTTTTGTTTTTCTTAGCAATTATTTCGCATAACTAAATAAAGTTGGAAAACATCCTTAGTTTTTGGGTTGGGTCTAAAATTGAGTTTATTTTTTCGCAAAAAGAAAGAATTTTATTGCTTAAACTGGTACTGAATTCATTGGGATGAACTGTTTTTCATAATTCATTTATTTGCTGTTTCTTTTGCCATATTCTAAATTCAAATTTAAATTCTGTTGAAGATCAAATCAGAAATACAGCTATTCGCAAGGTTATCGTAGGTCAGGGTTGGATTTCGATGAAATTGAATTTTAGTCCCGTCTTTCATTTTTACCATCGGTTTACAATCTGAGTATTAGTGGCATTCATCGAAAGATCGAACTCGCAAACGAACTTCATACATACGTTGAGGCCTTATCAGAATTGGCTGTGGGAAAGACACTTTAAGTAGCGTGTTTAAAAAGCCAACCCAAGTCTTAGATGTGCATTCACGAAGAACTTTTGGCGACACAGTTGATTGAAAAGCAAGATCATCGTGCTCGGTGATCGTTACTTCAACCTCAGTTCCAGATATTTTGGACGAACCATTCCATGCGCTCGCAGTGTGAATTTCTCCCAACAGTACGTGATTATTCGATGGAAACGAAGTTACTTATAGATTTCGCAGGCCAGTCTGTCCCTGCGCTGAGCCTACAATATTCCGCTGATATTCCAGAACATTATTCGCATCCCATATGAAGACCCCGAGTCTTGAAATTCAACTGAATAATTTCGGTTCGTATCCCCTTACTGATAATGAAAACATAATATCTTCGAATTCTTCCAGAGTGAATAGTCCCTTAAATGACATATACCGTTTGTAAAATTCATCGCTTGCCATTGCACCGAATCGAATTAGCTTAAAGCAATCGCCGAGTTGAGTTCTCAGATTCACCGCTTGAGTTCCATCCAAATCATTTTGTTCGCATGCGTATTTGGTCCACGTCAAACAGGCATCAAATACATCGGCTTCTGTGCAAACTAAATCCAGCTCCAGAATTCGCTTCAGAATACTTTTGTTACAGCGTTTGAATACCTCGGCAGCAAAAACACCTTTCGGCGAATTGATGATTTTGCCCTCACAGAACTCGATTAATTCATCATTTTTGAGATTCACTGCCAATTGATAAACCCAGAACCTGTTATCCAGTGTCAGTTGTCTTTTGGGAAATACGGCACACGCGTTGACATATTCGAGGACATCGTACTTGTCGGCCAAACGAACAACAGTCTCGATATTTTCCATGGTTAATGACACCTCACCCAAATAGAAGAACTAGAGAAACTCCTTGAATGCTTTGTCATCCGCATCGACGATCTCAGAATCGCCTTTCTCTGGCAACGATCCGAAGAACATTTTCCTGAACACTGGGCTGAGCACAGCTAAATTGGCTTTGTTAGCCGGAACCTTTTCACTCTCATCATTGACGTTGAACACGAAATGGACATCAGCAAATTCTTCGTTGAGGTATTGGGTCTGGGAATTAGTTTTGTCGATTTTTTTAAATTTTCAAACATTTATTTGAATACCAAAATGAAATTACATTTCAATCAAAATATTGTCCATCGGAAGCGATGACCTTCTGCCACAATGTGGGCAATTGACGGATGCCTGCCTTAAAAAATTCCTCATCTTTTGAGGCTATAAATGCATCGAGCCAATTTTGGATTTCTTCAACTGAAGAGAACCGCTCTCCGTCCATATGGTTTTGCATCGATCGAAACAAATGGTAGTCGGAAGGAGCCAGGTCTGGGCTATACGGGGCGTGAGCCAAAACTTCCCATCCGCTATTTTCCAAGTAGTTTTTGACCGATTTCTCAATGTGTGGCCGAGCATTGTCATGTAGGAAAATCAATGTCTCTTTTCTGGTCTCCCATTTCGTGCGTTTTTCTTTGATTGCTTGTTTCAAACGTATCAATTGTTGTCGGTAGAAAGGCCCATCGATGGTTTGACCACTTCTCAGCAGCTCATAATACACCACTCCCTCCTCATCCCACCAAATAGACCGCATTACCTTGTCGCCGTGAATTTCTTGTTTTGGCTGTGATGTTGCTGGTTGGCCGGGCTTAACATACGATGCTTTGCGCTTGGGGTTATCGTAATGAATCCATTTTTCGTCACCAGTGACAATTCGATACAGAAAACCTCTTTTTTTGTGCCTTGCGAGCAGCATTTCGCAAGTCGCTAAACGCCTTTCAGCTTGCGCTGGCGTCAATTCATGTGGTACCCAATTTGACAACTTGCGAATGAAACCAAGGGCCCTTAAACGATATCCAACAGTGCTTCGGTCAACATTCAATGCTCTGGCAAGCTCATCTTGAGTTTGACTCGAATCTTCATCGAGCAATGCCTCCAATTCCGCATCTTCAAACTTTTTTGGCTGGCCGGGACGTTCCTTGTCTTCCGTGCTAAAATCACCACTTTTGAACCGTGAAAACCACCGTTCACATGTACGTTCCGATGGAGCATGCTCACCATAGGCTTCCACCAACATTCGATGCGCTTCAGCCGCAGTTTTCTTCAAATGAAAGCAAAAAATTAATGCTTGCGGGAAATGTTGCTTTTTCGGTACAAAATTTGACATATTTAAGGCGCAAAAAAAAATGTTTATCCAAACTTCGATGAAATGATAGATGATGATTTTTGTAGTTTGACACTAGACCACTCATGTGAAAAAGAAAAAAGTATTGCCCGATACAACCATGCAAAGTTACGCCATCTTTTGAAAAATCGACACGATTAATTCCCAGACCCAATATTTGCCAATTAAATGCGCCGAAGAATCAAAAAGAACCTCTCATACCACATGAAATTCCAAATGAGCCATATAAGAAAATTGCGTGCGATATTTTGGAATACAATTCGAAGAGCTACTTATCCGTAGTTGACTTCTATTCGAAATGGATAGATTTAGTTAAATTAAAAGGAAAAACGGCTCGTGATGTTAATACTGAATTGCTAAAGCTATTCGCCACATTTGGAATCCCACGAATAATAGTAGCAGACAATATGCCTTTTGGTTCATTCGAAACCAAGCAATTCGCTCAAAAGTATGACATCACCATTCAAAATACAAGTCCAAATTATGCACAGGCCAACGGCATGGCTGAGAAGTCGGTGAACATTTGTAAAAATATTCTAAAAAAATGTGAGAATGAAGAACAAATCTACAAAGCATTGCTCGCATATCGCACAACACCGACAAAAGGCTTGACATATTCGCCAGCTCAGCTCATGCAAAACAGAAATTTGAGAACAGATTTGCCAATGCATTGTAATAAATTTCGTCCGGAATTGCCCACCGATATTGAAAAACAGCAACAAGCTCAACAACAAGCAAGCAAGACATATTATGACAGAACTGCTAAACCGAGAAATCTCGACTTGAAAACTAATCAAACCGTCTTGTTTCGGCTCAATGAAAAATGGGAGATGGGAAATGTTATTGCAAAACATGACTCGCCCCGTTCGTATGTAATCCGATCTCACGGTCGTGAATATCGTCGAAACACAAGGCACATAAAAATTTTCAACGAAATAATGAATCCGATCCAATCAACCGATACACGGGAGGCTTCGACTCATCAGAAACGTACTCGTAGTGGCCGAACGTATTAAGTGAAGTAATTTATT